TGATGATTATGTACAGAGTTCTATGAAAGTGTTAGTAAATATGTTCTGATGTAGTGCATATATATATATATATATATATATATATATATATATATATATATGTGTGTGTGTGTGTGTGTGTTAGGTTTATATTACTGTGTGTGCGTGCGTGTGTGTCTGTGTGCGTGTGCGTGTGCGTGCGTGTGTGTGAGAGAGAAAGCATGTCTGTGTGCATATTAAAAACATTTTACTTAATTGTGCCTTTTCATTAATAGACTTATAGGTCATAGTGTTGGTATTGAAGAGATGAGCCTGCGTCCCTGAGACGAGGTTGGTATTTATGTGCTAATAGTTGTATGTATATATTGTTATATTTTGATGTGTATGACATCATATAAATGGGATTTGTAGGTGTAATTAATATACAACTGATTGTTGTTCTGATAATATATGCTGAAATTCATGTTCATGGTAAACATTAAATGTAATATGTTTGTATAATCATAGATTCTTGTAATTGTATATTACTAATTCAACCTTATTATATTATATTTTAGGGAATTATCATCCATAGCCATATTGTGGTGGGATCTCCATTTCCCCGATCTGAATAGACGGAATAAATCCCATGAACCCCCAACAAGTATTCGTCGTCATTACATAGACTTGATACCGCTGTAACATGTGTCGTCACTCATGTATCTGTACGATTTTGGCCTGTGGTCCATCTTTCCGGAATAGTTAACGAAAGATATATGTTTCTGACTTCTCAAGAAAGTTTCTTTCACAACTCTACATAACACAAGCACATTGAACATTACTGTAATCAGCTGCAGATCTTTCTATAACATGCAATAAGTAAAGACACACCACAAACAATGTAACCTGCAGGAAGTAACGGTTCTTGCAAATATAACATTGAACTATAGATAGTGCAGGAACAGCTTTATGTATGCCAACAACTAACAGGCTACATGGTGGTACAACCAAACGAGAATATATGCTAACAATCTAATTTTATAATGCCTATTCTATAGGTATTTGTCGTCTAAATAGTTTCAAGATAGGTTTTGTGTTAGCGAGCGCACACCCTTCCTCTGTTAAACAAGGCGACACGGCCGAGGGTTTTCAATTATACACTTTAACAGTAAAAGTGGGTCATTACTTATGAACATGAAGCCCGGCCACGCTGTAAACCGAAAGTAGGAATGTGTGGCAGTCAACTAACACTAACATTCAGGATACACGCAGTACGAATCAAGGTAAAGGCACCACCTTCAGCAGCCTGAAAGTATCTTGACATACACATGCAAGTTTTCACCCTGAATATCTAAGATTTATCTGTGTGTAGGGGGACAAAGTGAGAGACGAGACACAACAAACCTACCTGGACAGGTAACTTCCTTCTTCTATGAAACACACGTCATGTCCGGGAGATGACGTGTTGTTACAAGTGTGTTATAACCGAGACATATACATACGTTCACCATAATAACGACTGTGTCTATTCCCATATATATATATATAATAATAATATGGGAAATCTTATACCATAATAATAATATGGGAAATCTTATACGAAACAAAATGATGGAATAATGGTCATTCTTGGATCTTGGAATGATGATTTTGCAGATGTGTTCAACACTGTGACAATTTGAATGATCACATGTCCAGTAAATATGACTGTTGCTACAGTGTATAAATATAACATTGTAGTGTGTTTATACACATGCAGTCACTGTTGCTGTGGGGTTTACCCCTCAGCGTAACCTGAGCCCAAACTATAATTTGAACGTAACATGTAGTTCATTCAGTGAGATTCCACGAGGCTATATTTTGGTAAATATGTGTTAGTGAGGAGATCGAGGGAATGGGGGTTGACGAAGGGTGTCATCGTATGACCTTTATTTGTTAGATAAGACTGGAGGAGGCTGCTTTGATCTTTATTTAATAAAAAGCGTGTTATTCGCACAACAACTCTATTTAAGCCTGCGCATCACCACCCACCCATTACTGCACATGTTGCCTCTAACCGCAAGATAAACGACGTCTTGCTGTTCAGTTATCCAAATGTTGACACGCGACTCACTGTACTCACACCTCAACTGACTGAAATGAAAGAAAGATGGTCGTCAAGGTACACAACACACTGTGAATATTATACCACACTACTAAAGTCTCTCTTCACACTTCGGACGAGGTGTCATGAAACATTGGTAAAACGACAGCAGTTCTTTGTTCCAGTCGCATAACACCCATGTCGATCAGTTATTATATACAATGACATCTACATCACGTGAGTCGATCTCGGACACAGTACCAGTCACACAAGTACTAACACCCATTTACTTATTTTTAAAATATACTTAAAATGATTTCTTAATTTTGAATTAAGAATTGTTATATAGATTGCTATCAGTATTATTTACATAAATGAACCATTACACAAGCAGTAATTCTCTCTACGGGGAATATAAACAACAAATAATTTCGAAATGACACCATTTTCATTTAAAACAATTCGCTTGAGGTCCCATATCAGGAGCGATAACTCATTGGCAAGATAGATACAATATGAAGTTCTTACATAGTCATTGTACATTCCCCACGTACACAGTACACAACCAACACGGGAGAACGCACCCCTGTCCAACCAGGCACTGGTCCTGCTGTGACGATTGGTTTTGATTTCGATTTAATCCTGTTTGTAACCTTTACATCGTGACTTGAGAAGGGAATTGCTGGGCGCATCATGGTGTGACTTGACTTACGATGAACATCACTTCTTGGCATCTGGATACATATAATATTTAATCAGTAAAGACGTATATTTGAAGTAAGTATGTACGTCTCCCGGCCCCCTGACCCCTGGGTAACCGGGTGTTGTTAAACAAACGTCACCATCAGTCCTTCTGGTCCGATGGACGTGGGACAGACAGACAGACAGACAGACAGACAGACAGACAATAGTTTATTAACGTCTCACTTCTGAACATACATAAAACAGCTTTGTACAACTTGACATAGATAGAATGTACAGAACCATTCAATAGAATTATGAGAGACAAATTATCACATAATTTATACATAAATGATATAAAGATGATATGGTAAAAAGTTCTCCATATAAAAGATGTTTTCTACGATTAAGAATTAAAAAGCAGACTTTGGCAAGTACAAAACACACACTGGAGTCACTGAAAATTAAACAAAGTTTGTCGATATCAGGTATATCTAAAACATTATAAGATTTAGCAATACATTCATTAAAAAGAGTTGCCCTGATACCGTCATAAAATACGCAGTGAAACAAAACATGGCCCTCGTCTTCTACGCTGTCATTACAGTGAAAACATTTTCTATTGTTGACAGGTACACCTTCGTACCGACCGGTTTCCACTCGAATAGGAGCCACGCCACATCTAAACTTGGCTAGTGCCGATCTATAGTTTCTGGGCATCTTATGTGAAACATAGTATTCTGTCGCATATACTTGTTTGTAACATCGGTACATTCTCAATTTATTAAGCCCATTTCGACCCTCTTCCTTTCTTAACATATCACTCCAACGGGTAACATATTCATTCTTACACCATTGTTCCACCTGTGTACAAACAGAAAATTTATCAATAAAACCTGTAGCGTTTAATAGATGTCCTAAATCCATATTAGTAAACTTCTTTCTTACCCTACCATTCCAATTTTTACAACCATTTACAGCGTATCTATCAGCCATGTTAAACACGTGTTTGTTTAACCTACTAGACATATTCTCAAGGCGACACCATTGTCTTGCTACACTTTTCCTCTGTCTGACAACAGGCGGTATCCATCCCATGTGGGATGTGCTCGGTGGCCAGTTCATCTAGCATGGCGATCAGCTGTTTGTACACCCACCAACATATTGTTTACATAAACATACACTCAAATAAGCCCTTACAGACATTATTTAATAAGCCCAGCCAATAACATAGCTTTATAAGTTCAGTCTGTTTTGACAAAAAACACTTATTCGTGAGTCCAGTCTCGTACATACAAGAGCGCGTGCGCACACGCACACACACACACACACACACACACGGACATGCGCTTTCATAGGAGAGACGCTCACTCTAGTGAACGTACCTGTTCTGACAGATCTGAGTAATATTAAGCCAACAAGAGTTGTTCCCCTTACCCGTTCGTCATCACCAGTCTTGTTCACTGTAGGGTTTTACAGTAGAACTAAAAGATGCGTTTATATTGGTTGTTTAACGTCACACTCAGCAATATTTTATCTATGTGGTCTTGACCATACAAACCAGTGACTGATAGTATGAGCAAACTTGACCAATCAATGTTGTATCAATGTGACGTCTGTTTCACGCCTTGCATACCTCACCTCAGACTTAATGTTGTATCAATGTGACATGTGTGTTTCACGTCACAGGATATCCATCAGTGATCATATCTTAGGCTGACGAATATACATCTATACAATCATATAAACTAGTAGGTGTAAGGTGATGTTGGGCGTCACAGGATATCCATCAGTGATCACATCTTAGGCTGACGAATATACAAATATACATATAAACTAGTGGGTGTAAGGTGATGTTGGGCGTCACAGGATATCCATCAGTGCTCATATCTTTGGCTGACGAATATACAAATATACATATAAACTAGTGTGTGTAAGGTGATGTTGGGCGTCACAGGACAACCATCAGTGCTCATATCTTAGGCTGACGAATATACAAGTATACATATAAACTAGTAGGTGTAAGGTGATGTTGGGCGTCACAGGATATCCATCAGTGATCATATCTTTTGCTGACGAATATAAAAATATAAATATATATAAAATCATGAGCATCGACCCGTGCAATTGGGATGCGATGACATGCATCAAACCAAGTCAGCGAGCCTGACCACCGATTCCGTTAGTCGCCTCTTACGACAAGAACAGTCACCTTTTGAGGCAAGCAAGGGTTGCTGAAGATCTATTCCACATGTTGACGGTTACAAAATAACCATTGTTTACAGTAAAGAACATATGTTTATTCGGACATGAAATATTACAAAACTGGTATTTCTGGTTAGGTCAGTGATTATTATTCCATAAAAAACATATTTCGTCGCGTAACTGTGTTTAATGGGAAATAATTACAGTCGACATATATTGATCAAAGATGAGCGAGTGAATGAGAGTGAGTTGAGTGGTTTGGTGAGCAAGCGAGTTGATGAGTGGGTGAGTAAGTGAACCAGTGAAACAGAGTGAGTGGTGAGTGAATCAGTTGCTGAGTGAGTGAGTGAGCGAGTGAGTGAATCAGTGGCTGAGTGAGTGAGTAAAATACATGTAGCTCATTCCATGTGTTCAGACTTATTTGCTAATTTCTAGAGTATATAAATAATAAGAACAAGTTGTCCCTGCAAGACTGGCGTACAGTTCACTTATCTAGACTTGCCTTTTGTAAGGGCAGGCTTACTAAACACACAGGGCAACCTTGTAGCAGAGACCATTAAATTATTTTGTGGTCACAACTTGTAGTAAGGCTACGGTCAATCGTGTTCTCTCAAGTCTGTATCTAAAAAATCAGGAAGTCTGGAAGAGTCTGGAAGTGTTCGTAAAATCTGTAATCAACTCGTCATTCAAGCTTCTGTTTGAGCGGAAGGATCGTCAGTGTGTGGTGAGGTTGGATGTTTTCCATCAGATGAGAGTTCAGTTTCTGGACCAAAATGTATAAGTTAGTGGCAGGTGTAACGAGTCTGACCTCGACATGACATCGAATGCAGAGCATTGTGTAAGCAATGGTGGAGACGCAATCACAGGATTGATATAAGAACACACTAAAGACACCCTTTTCTAAATCAAACAAAGACTTGTGCAGCACTAAGAAAATAGCGTTCTCTCCTGTAAAGGTATATCTATGATTGAATGATGATTTTCTCGAACTGGGGGTAATACCTCCTGACAGTCTTCCGTGGTTTGCTGCCCGAGCTAATCTGAAACCATGTTTCTGTTATTCCAAACAAATATAATGTTTGAAAGAAATGACAGAAAATGCCAGTCAGTTATTTCAGAGGCTAGTTCCGCCCCCACACCTTGACAACCATTGTCATCATCACGACAGTGCCTTGACAACCATTGCCACTATCACGACAACGCCTTGACAATCATTGTCACCATCACGACTACGCCTTGACAATCAGTGTCACCATCACGACAGCGCCTTGACAATCATTGTCACCATCACGACAGCGCCTTGGCTATCATTGTCACCATCACGACAGCGCCTTGACAATCATTGTCACCATCACGACAACGCCTTGACAATCATTGTCACCATCACGACAGCGCCTTGGCAATTATTGCTTTCTTCTCCTCTGTCATGTTGATGTCGCTGCCCACTACAAGTGTCATGCTGACAGTGAGGAGATGTGGGTTATACACCCCGAACATCGGCCACAGTGGCTGACTAGAGTCTACATTGTCTAACGTCGATATCACTTTGTTCTCCTTCACATCCATGAAGGCAATCTTCTTCCTGGTGTCATCATAGACAACACCGTAATGTAGTGTGTGTGATACCCCTGTTGTGTTGGGGAGAGGGTCAGGCAGACACAGCACATGCTCCCCCTCCTTCCATGTCGTCCTGCATATCCCGCCGTGTGTAGGACAGTAGGAGACCAGCATGCCGCAGGAGCTGAGTTGACTACCTATACAATGATACACGTCCCTCTGCTCCTCCACACATACACCCACCTCCAGGATGAGGACGTCCCCTGTAAGTGGTTTGTCCAGACTGACCCTGTTCATCACCTCCCAGTACTGGGGACAGCCGGCCCGGGGGAGGGGGGCAGTGCTACACGTGCCCTCGTACTTCTTCAGTCTCCCCTCCCCTGCAGGTCTGGTGTCCGACTTCCTGTTGACCAGGTTTCCTTCTGTGTTGATGTGGACGTAGACGATATTGACTCTGTCTTTGTCATACTTCAGATGTATACCTACAACATATGAATGTTGTTTACTTGTGAATGAAAACATGAGACAAATAGTGATAGTCAAGTTATATAATGATATTTAAATGAAATAAATTCACAATTTTCTAATATACAAACAGTATAATATAATCACAGTGGAGTAGTAAGAACATAAAGCCTACTGTGTAATACCTTGGATCTATGTGTTTACATTGGATTCACTGATAATCCTTTAACCCGACTGTAGAATTAGTAAGTGACAGGTCTAGTGCGTGGCTCGTCAGTTGTCAAATTATTCAGAACGGCAGACACACGACATCAACATTAATTTAATTACGTCACACAAATCAGAAATATTTGCAGTTGAGATACTGATTTACAAATACGTGGGGATATACAGAGCACGACAATCACACAGTGGGCGAACAGACGCAATCACAATGTACACCGTGTTATAACAGAGACACTAATAAACGTGGTATAATGAGGAACATATAGATTGCATGTCAATGTTGAGATCACAGTGTCACGTGACCTGGTGACGTCATCTAGAAGCTGGTGAAGTATTGTGTGGCACGTTGCAGGACGCACGTGGGTTGACGATGGATGATAGTATGGTTAGGCAGCATTGTCAGTAGAGGACACCAACAATAAGACCCGTGAAGATTCCGGGGTAGAACAGGTCTTCAGCAACCCATGCTTGCCGTAAAAGGTGACTATGCTTGTCGTAAAAGGCGACTAACGGGATCGGGTGGTCAGGCTCGCTGACTTGGTTGATACATGTCATCGATCCCAATTGCGTGGATCGATGCTCATGATATTAATCACTGGATGTTCTGGTCCAGACTCGATTATTTACAGACCGCCGTCATATAGCTTGAATATTGCTGAGTGCGGCGTTAAACAACAAACCAACAACAACCACAAACAATAAATAACACAATAAACCACACTATTTTGATATATTTCTGGAATATTCTTGTAGATTGTAATTTGGAGTAGATGTTACATATATGTTATAAACTCCTTCTGGTTTCTTTATGAAGAACTTGTTGAGACTAAAAGCAGCTGAATTGAATGTAAATATACAAATATTATTCGAACAACCTTCCCGCAGACCCGTGAAAATCCAGCTTGATAATAAATCTTGCTTGTCAAACACGCGACAAACTGGATCGGGTGGTCAGTTTCGTTGGCTTTGTTGATGCATGTCATCGTATCCCAATTGCGTGGATCGATGTCAATCACTGGATTGTCTGGTCCAAACTCGATTATTTACAGACCGCCTTCATTTTGCTGGAATATTGCTGAGTGTGGCGTTAAACAAACACACAAATAAACAGAACAAAACTTCCAGCTTGTTCTTGTGACAAGAAACATCGCGCTTCACGTGCGAAATAGATTCGCCACCGGTCAAGCACGTGCAACTCGTGGCGACACCGCCCTTAGTTCAGAAAGCACATGCGAGCAGACGACCAATTGGTTGCCAATTTCATTCTACAGTCAGTTTTTTCCGACACTCGTTAATCCGACAGTCGGCTTTATCCGACACTAATGATGGGAACCGATTAAATCAGTGCTATTTAGACCCGTTAATCCGACCGTCTCGCACTCCGACTCGACACACCTAACTTGCAGCCAATTGCCGAAATCACTCATTAATCAGTCTCGTTAATCCGACACAGTGATCAGCGTACTCCGTGGTCATCTGCCCGCGAGTACACAGTCTGTGTTTTGATGCGAGACGAATCGTCGAGTAGCTGCATATTTCAACGGCTGCACAGATAAACTTGCTTAACAATAAACAATTACTGCTTTAAATAAACAAAACAGGATTAATAACATGCCTAGATTACCTCAATCTCTTAAAATCGGATACGAGTTCTCGCTACCGCTGAGGACATTCTCATTACAGGTCACGACAGAACGACCTCTAGTCGAAAGTTTACTCTATGACTATCGTTGGTTATTTGAAACTCGGATGTTAAGCTTAGTACATTTGTCAGTGCATGGAAAAAGTTCTATTCTCCACAGAGAGGGTATTAAGAGTGGAAATTGAACCCAACTAACTGTACCATGTTGTGATCACACGAGTGACCATGGAGGGGCATCAGTGTAAATGCATCACCCTACAGCTGATAACACTTAACTTGGCATGCATTTCCTTCTAATTAACGACATGGTGATTCTGGGCCACAGTATGTTTCCCCAGCAGCCAAGAGGCGAGTGCATGGATCGCGTTGTCAGGCTTGGTCACTGGTAGGTCCACGTCTCAACGCATCTCCAGGTCAGTAGGTGGAATAACAGGACATACATGTGGAAGTTCCAGTGTCTTAAATCTTGATCAGCGAATGTTGAGGTATTTGAAGAATGGGGCCACACACATTGTCAAGGGCATGTTCAACGTGTAGCAATGATAGTTCTATAACATTGGGATAATCATCTGATACGTTGTGTATTTACATGTGAGCGACGGGTAGTGTATCTATAACAGACCGCCATCATACAACTGGAATATTGCTGAATGCGGCGTTAACCAACCAACAAACTAACCATAACAAAGTTTGTCAGTGTATATTGTCAAGTGTCAATAAGTCGGCGATTTTGTTAAGAAATAGAATAATAATGCAGTCGAACTGATTCACACAGGCGCGACACAGTTAACAGTGTTCATGGTAACAACATGAGGTGAATGTTGAACAATTCACTGTACCTGCCTGTACGTCATACGATTAACACATTTTCTTTTTGCTGGCTCCTCTATAAATTATCTTGACCCATCAAGTGAATAGCTGACAGTTGCACAGCTTCAGACATATCAGAGTTCTTGTTGGACCACACCGTGAGTCTCCTCTGTGTGATGCTCGTGAAATATACTAACGACAAATAATAGGGGAACTATAGTCCTCACCTCCTGACATAGAGTCACGAAATATCGCGATTTTTAATTGACGAAGTTAGCTGCATGAGTGCTGATACTTATAAATCGAAAACTGGACATTTCGCCGATAAGGAATATGACTTACAGTAATTAAAAATATTAATTGCGTTTTGGTCATGTTGTCAGAAAGCGACTGAGGATCGGCAGTCACATGACCGCGAGCGATTATATATTTAGCAATGTTTTGAGGCATACGAACATTACTAGCACGAATTTAAAAGAGAGTACGTACAGATGAAGTATTTAAAGGGCCATCGACCAAGGTCACTGCTAAATATTATGCTCGCAGTCAACTGACTAGAATTTCCCCCATTTTTAAACCCAATGATGATCTTTATTGCAAAGAAAATGAACATTTCTTGAAAATCGCACTTTAAATTTTGTTACATTATCGTAAGTAATATTTCTCATTGGCGGAAAGGCTTGTTTTCACTCAATACGTATTGGCACACATTCAGCTTTCTTCGTTAATTAATCAAGTGACGACGCTTGTCGTAAGAGGTGACTAACGGGATCTGGTGGTCAAGCTCGCTGACTTGGTTGATGCATGTCATCGATCCCAATTGCGTGGATCGATGCTCATGATATTAATCACTTGATTGTCTGGCCCAGACTCGATTGTTTACAGACCGCCCTCATATAAGCTGGAATATTACTGAGTGCGGCGTTAAACAACAAATCGACAACAACTGACGTTAATTAATCATTGCGACGTGATATTTCAAGTGGAGAGAGTTATAATGTCCTGAAAGTAAGAGTGAGGCGCATTTGCAACGAGAAACCGCGCCAAAAATGCATTTTAGCTAAACACACGCTAAAGCATGCCACATAGGCAGTATCTCAATTAACAGACCAAATGGCGACTTGTGAACACGATAGAGGGTAGACGTCAATTTTCCGAAGTTGCCCGAATGTTTGGCACTGCAAAAAGTGTAATTTTCAGTCGAACGGGTGGGGTTGCAATGCGACGTTGCCATATGACGTTGAGAGCGACTTGATAATACCCCATGAAGTGACGCCCTGCTGCAATATACCCTTATTGAGGTTTTCAGGAAAATTACTTGGATGTATGAAATATGGGTATCTTGCAGCCCTGCCTCCCCTGATGTATGAAATAAGGGTATATTGCAGCCCTGCCTCCCCTGATTAATGGAATAAGGGTATCTTGCAGCCCTGCCTCTCCTGATGTATGAAATAAGGGTATCTTGCAGACCTGCCTCCCATAATGAATGAAATAAGGGTATACTGTAGCCCTGCCTCCCCTAATTAATGAAATAAGTGTATCTTGCAGACCTGCCTCCCCTGATTTATGAAATAAGGGTTTCTTGCAGCCATGTCTCCCATAATGAATGAAATAAGGGTAAACTGTAGCCCTGCCTCCCCTAATTAATGAAATAAGGGTATCTTGCAGCCCTGCCTCCCCTGATTAATGAAATAAGGGTATCTTGCAGCCCTGCCTCCCCTGATGTATGAAATAAGGGTATCTTGCAGCCATGCCTCCCATAATGAATGAAATAAGGGTATACTGTAGCCCTGCCTCCCCTGATTAATGAAATAAGGGTATCTTGCAGCCCTGCCTCCCCTGATTAATGAAATAAGGGTATCTTGCAGCCCTGCCTCCCCTGATTAATGAAATAAGGGTATATTGCAGCCATGCCTCCCATAAAGAATAAACAAGGGTAAACTGTAGCCCTGCCCCCCCTAATTAATGAAATAAGGGTATCTTGCAGCCCTGCCTCCCTTGATTAATGAAATAAGGGTAAACTGTAGCCCTGCCTCCCCTAATTAATGGAGTTGGGGAATATTGTAGCCACCCCCCCCCCCCCCAAAAAAAAAAAAAAAAAAAAGAAGAAGAAGAAAATGGAGGAAGGCTATATTGTATCCCTGCCTTCCCTAATCAACAGAGTGAGGCTATATTGTAGCCCTACCTCCACTTAGAACTAAAGTGAGGTATTTATGTGTTACCATGTAAACTTCAACCACATACAACAGGCTATGACAACAGTAACATATGTTGCATGTACTTACACTGAAGGATAGATGACCAGTCAATCTTTCCTGCATCCAGGAAGTATATTCCTGAAAGAAGAGAAAACTCATTTTATTTCAGATTCATTTCATGACCACAATAACTCGTACGTTGGCAAGTACCAAAGCATCGATATTTCTCTAGGTATTTTACATGACAATGTGCAGTCATCTGCATCCTAGACTGCATGTCGACATGACACATCGAGCTTGGCTCCAGAGGAAGTATATTATTTATAACAGATTCTAACATCTGAGTTATGATTAGTTGTTTGGAGTTCTTCGTCTTCCTCTTATCAAGTAATGAATTCCACGGAAACCTGTTTATATTCTTGAAATTATTATTGAAAAAATCAGAAATCTCAAGTATCCTGTGGGGGTTGAGGTGTTAGGGTGTTAGGGATGGCACTCCTATCCTCACATCTGAAAGTCACCCTGGAACACGAAACTAAATTAGTATCATCGCAATACAAAAACACATTACAACTAACAAGATGACCTAGTATGATTGAAGAATTGTAAACACCATTAGCAATAATAAGCAGTCACTTCACTTGAAATTAACATGATGAATCTTACCTAGGGATTCCAGGTTTAAGAACGTGGCATTTTCTATCAAGCGTTTCCTCTTCATTTTGAAGTCCTAATGTAAAAACAGAAACAAATTCTAATATAACATTGGTTGTTGCGATAAGACTTCGCGTGTTTCATGTTAAGTTAAGAATTTTAAGGGGCGTGTATTATCATACAAAATTATGACATAGCATGTTATACTAATATATTTTCTACAACTGTACTAGATAAAATCTTTGGGGAAAACTGCCAGTGTGAAAATAACATCTGATATAAAGTGAAGTAATTTACTTACTTACGTCATGTACGAATGGTGGGATTACATGTGCACTACATATGTTTATCAATCCATAATTTATTTATTGTATATTTATAGAGACAATATATCTGAAACAAACAATGAAAAGTTGAACATGTTGTTTGTTCTCTTATTTACCTTTGCCTGATCTTTGAAAATGACGATCTCATTTTGCAATTCTAGAAAGTACAAGAACAAAAAATATATATAGTGAGTGTAATCTAGAAAGATATCATTTTGTGGTTTTGGTTTTCAACGCATTATAATTGATATAAGATACTTCGATGTTTTTGTAAATTTATGCTAGAATTAAATAATGATTTCAAACACAAGAACTAAAGTTATACCACATTAGAAAGAAAATTACCTGTTATGGTCGGCATGGTATCTAGTTCATCTACGCCCTTGTCAGAGGTGCTAATGGTGCCAAATATTTCAACTAATTCGTGAAGAGCTTTTTGTCCTTGACGAATGAAACTCATGGACTGTGACTTCACTGAATCTTCGGGAAGAGAGCGGAGAAGGTCTTCGTCTATCTTGCTGACAATGGTAGATGACAGATTCATGAATTGGGCGTGTGTTGTAGATGCCATGGCTCTTTCAGCATAACGTAATGTAGTCAGTACAGCTGAGCCACTGGTTTCCAGACATTCCATATCTTTCCGGAGAATACTTCTGTTTTCCTCTACTTGATTTTCTATTTTCTGGATGTGATGCTTTAACCTTTGAACCAAACTCAGAGCAAGGCCGCTATGGACATTAACTATTTCCTTCTTCACTTGATCTGCCCTTTCCTCCAGCTCTGTAACCCGGGTCTGTTTCTGTCTGGAGGAGGCCTTTATCTTCTCCAGATATTCCTTGTGCTGACGAACTTTGTTTACAAGACTCTCTTCAGTATTTTTAAATGCTACATCCAGTGCTGTATTGCCATGGTCGGCGTGGTCTCCTCTGATACACACATCGCAAACTGATGTGTTGCATTTTTTGTCAAAATATTTGACATATTCACGAGGATGAGTTGAACAGGTCGAGAGACCTAGTCGTTCCCGAATTGGCATTTTCTTAAACTCCTCAGCATGTACAACCGTGTGTTCAGAGGTTGCTCTTGTCGTCTCGTGTTTCGTTGTGCAATTAGCACACATAGATATGTTGCACACCTTACAATGATGTACAACCTCCCCCTTGCATTGTTCTGTTTGGTATGCACATTCAGGTTTTTCTTTTGCAAATGTGATTTCATTTCTTCTCACGAAGTCGACTGTTCCACTTTCCTCCACCATGTTGATGTCTCGTCCACATGAACACATAATGTTCTGCTGGTCGAGCTGGTCAATGCAGGGTTTACAGGCGGCATGGAGACATGGCAACAGGAGCAGTTGTCTGGTGTCACAACCTGAAGAAGTTTTCAGAACACACCCAGTTTCCTCCACTAGAGTCGCTGAAAGCGTTAATAAAAGTGTATAAGTGATAAACCTAACAGTTGCAAGGAAGCGTGTCACTACATGTTAAAAAGACCAACCTTCAGATGTTAATGAATCTCTTTTTTCACTGGTCTCTCTGTCAGTGTGAATGGTGGTAAGGGCTTCAAACTTTTGCTGAATATTCTTCAAATCCTGCAATTAAGCAACAAATATATTCTACAATAATGTTTATACCAAATAAAAGTTTATCATGACATATTGAGATTTCATCAACTGCACATAATATGCAAAACGACATCAATATTTTTGTGGAATTCATGTGGTTTTGAAGGACATTTGAAGCAGAAAAAAGAGACTGTACATTCCAATCACCGTGTGCGTTTGGTCCGATGTCGCTCTTAACAGTACTTGAAATATACCACAGCCTGTCAAGAAATGTCCCTTTAAGTTCCCACATGACTCACAATACGCAAAGGTTTGTTGCATACCTAAGGTTCCCGATGCTGAGCAGCGACATGGCATTTTGCCTACCCATCCAAGGAAACCAATTAATAACATATACTGAACCACCATAGGCACTACCTGCCAACTGTAACGAAGGCTTACCTTGGACAAACTTTTTTTTTTTCCTTTCATCTTGTCGTACATTGCTTGAACTTGAATAAAAATGAAAACAAAATGACGAATCCAATCAAGGCATATTTTAAAACAAACATGCTCTAAAACCTTGCCATCTAAATGCATTATTTAAACTTATATTTGTATATTCATCTTTCAGTAAATGTCATACATTTTGATTCCGATAGACACGTTAGGTTCTATTGCTGACACCAAACACTATACACAGAACAAAAATAGAGGAAGGTATTGTATGTGTATCTTGTATCATGATGTCCTACCCGCTTTCGTCCTGTTCTTCTCCTGCTCCAGCTGCTGGGACAATATGTGATTTTCCTTCTTTAAAGATGTTTCCTGCTGTCCATGCTGCACATTTAATTCTTTGACATCCCTCTCCCATTCAGCCTTGGTATGTTGTGCATTTTGTCTCGAATCATCTAGGTCCTGGAACAGAATGTTGCATTATTAGTATCTGGTCTCATGTAAGGTCCGTTTACTCATACTAGTGGTATAAATACACTTAACAGCCACTCTAATAATCCACTTCATAAAATATGTTTTAAAAATTGAAAATAATAAACCTTTGTTAACTTATCAAAACAATTACTACAAGAACAAAACCTCCACGGCCATTACAAAATTAATGTCTACCTTCTGCAAGACAGCAACTTTCTGTTCCATTACAGACACCCGCTCCTGTATCTCTGTCTCACTGACAAACACCAGGCTTGGTGAATCTTGAACAAAACCGAAATTGTTACATGCACACTGTGACTAAATAAGCCGTCTGTCCATGCTATCAATTTTAACAAGCTCACACTAACATTCAATATCTTTGGGAGGACAGAGGGAGGGGGACGGGGTAGGAGGAGTGTTAAACGACTTTAATTCACAATCAGTTAAAGCGGTTTAATTACCATGTTCCCAAGTGACATCCTAACCTCTTTTCAACGTTTCAAGCCCCACAGGAAGCCAGTTGCAAAATAATTCATTTATTGATCATGCTCTACGTGCCGTTATGAAAATGATAATTATTGATCATATGGATAAAGGGTTCCAATCGGCGTTTGGTATGATGACATTAATGGCAGCATGCAAGAAGGTTTTACCTAATTTATTAGCAATGTCAGATATACACACTACCATACCAAGTAAGGTCATATTAAAGTGAGATGTTTATTTTACAATGTCTACCTTCATGTTTCGCAGTTTTGTCCAACTGCTCTTTGAGGTGTCTGTGGTTATTGTGTAGCACAGCACAGAATTGTTTATACACATCCTCTTCCTTCTTCATCAATATGTCCAACAGCTTTCCAGTCTGTGCACGTTTCTTGTCTTCTTCTTTACAGCTCCTATACTCCAAGTCGCTGAATGCTCCGGTAGACCACAGGTCGTCAAGCACCTCGTCTGGGTGCAGGTCACTTTTGAGTAAAGGTAGGTTCTTTCTGATAATTTCTGCATGATGCATGTTCTTTCTCCAGAGTCTCTCTGCGCCAGGTTGTGTATCCTAGTTGATTAGAAGCTAAAGTATCACTTAGAATCATAAACTACATGAATGTTATCTATGCGATGGAATGCACAGATGTACGTCATTGTAGATAAGTAGAAACGCGTATGTCTTGTTCCACAGATGCATAAAATACTCAAACCACTGGCAGATAACTGTTCATGAATGAAGTATAAATACTATGACCAAATAAGCTTAAGCTAGCAGAGTGAGACAATGGGGAATTATTTGTTAAGCATCAAATGCAAATGTATATATGTGAACAATGTAAAGCGTACAGATTATGTTTTGGCCCAGAAACAATCCACAATGAGACATTTAAGATCTTAATTGTGATCCTGGTCTTGTGGGTAAGAATTTAAATTGGTAATGTATTGATGAGACAATTTAAGATGGCGTTATTATTGTTTTTTTTAAAATAGCGCTACCACGCCTAACACAGAGGCAATGAATGCGAGAAATTCTACTCTCAAATAGTAAAGCAAGGAATTGTCAGTCCGAGAGGGAAGTTCCGGAAATTTTTGCTGCTCAAGCTTGACCTGTTGTTTCCTGTGTGTATACAAAGTTGCACAGGCTAATGTGGAGGTATGTCATTGTCTTTCACAATGATCACTGCATCTGCACCATATACATAACAATACTATACAACTGAAAGAAGTAACTATTCAATTTTAATCAGAACACAACAATCTTCTGTCATTTGCTATCTCCATGTGCCGTGACAGCTACAGTTTCGTTGGATCTGTGCATTGATAACAGAAAAAGTCGACTCAACTGACAATAGCGAGGAGCGCGTACACCTGGAATTTTACTCATTTGTCATTGGTACTTCCAGCACTTACAGGAAATATGGTAAGATGGACATGTTTCTATGCATGGATCACGGCCGCTTTTAAAAAGTATTCAAGTTATATCACGTCGTTTCAGCTTAATGTGGGAGGAAAGCCGGACGTGATGCAGGTCTCCGAAGTTTACCCGTTTACCACTTTGGAAAACCCACGAACACATTTACAAATATGGAAAGGAATCATGGCGAAGCGGAATTTGAACCTACAGTCATGGGTTTCTGGATTTCCCAAGGGACGCAGCTCTGCATGGTGAACTGAGGCGCCTCGGACTACTGGACCTTTGATGCTCATGCTCAGCTGTCATTGTTAAAGTGTTGGATTTGCGATCATCTTAACACTGACGTCTGTCCGTGCAAGTGGGCCCAGGCTAGGACTTACATCTTAGGCCACTAATATGTATTACGGACATAAATTATCCTCCTTAAACGGCACATCAGGATATTCGCGTTATCTACACACAACATGGCAGTAGTTTGAGTGTGTCATGGTTTGTAAGTATGGCTTGCCCGTCGTCCTTGTAAAATGAAGTAGGAAATAGTGTAGTCACGTTATAGTAACTACAGGCTCCAAAGTCTATGAAACACTATGAAACACAGGAATGTGTACCTGTTAGGGATCATCAAAGCATATGCACATGTACATGCAAGTTTTGGCTTATGTCTGAAGTGGTGTACTAGGCGAGAGACGTGACACAACACCCAGATTGCTACTTTGTTTTCTTTATAATTATTATATATTGCCCAGCAAACAAACTTATATTTGGCTTTCAAAGAGATGTCATGAATACACATCACATATATTAACGTATTTACAGGGTGTTAGATTTACTGAATATTTATGTTTATATTATGTCTCATTCGACTGATAGAATTAATACCTTTCTTCTTCTTGGTTTGATGACTGGCTGAAGTAGATTCCTTTTCATCTATATTTTAGCTGTATCTTATCAAGTTCGGGGTAATGCTATTAATATCCTCCATGTTATTATTAATGATCTATCATATAATCGGTTCAGGGTCTTTCTTCAAGAGGCTGTTTCAGATAACTTCTGTCTCATACATCTTCCCGAGGCAAAGGAGTTAACTGACTATAACAGTTCAGATTCCGAACTAGGCTGGAATTATGGAGTTACATTTTGGCTGGACTAACGAGTCTATGCAAAGTCAAATCAAAATCGTGTAACAAAATCGACATCCGATTTATAAAGAACATGGCGGCTGCTGTGCAAATTTCAGTCAATTGCACGATTTTCAGAGCATTTGTGCCATCAACTTGTTGTCGACAGATATTTTCCAAATCTTTTCATGTTTTTAATCAAAGTGCTCAAATGATTTGATGCTATCGCGAATTAAGACCCGTTCTATAAAAGAGAGTTATTAATCGTCCCACATTAAGCTGACACGCCACGATATAACTGTAATACTGTTAAAAGCGGCGTTAAACAGAACTCACTCACTCACTCGTCTTGATTTTGGCGTCGCCATTTTGTTGAAGCAAATGCAGGTGATATGAGAGACGGAATCTGATTGGTCAATATCGGGGACCAAGAAGGGAAATAGCTTATAAAAGCGACTGGTGGCGCTACGAAAGTGACACAAAATTATTGCCTGGGGTTGAAAGTTGGCGTAATCATCAATGACATACCCCTATCTGTTTTGAAATCCCGAATGTTTTATATAGCTGCACTTGTCACTAATACCCAACCATAATGTTAATCCGTGTATGTTTGCATGTTCTACACATTGGGCTTGACTTTTATTATTTGGTTTACAGGGTGCCCAAATAATAATAACTTGACTGATTTGGGAATGTAATGGGAAACAGAACATTTTTCCTCTTTTCAGTGGCGGAGATGGAAGGGCGATGTTAAGTCAAATAGTTTTTTCCCTTCCAATTCTACCTTTTTTATATTTTGCAATGACTGAACAGGCTGTGTGGTAAAATTTCCCCGATATTTTATTCCACTTTATTTGTGAAATTTGAGTTAGATAACATTGTTTATATTCGTTATATCTAAAGAAGTACATGTAGACAACATGAACATGCTCAAGATACTCTAAGCCCGCTAAAAGGGTTTGTCAGATGTCTTGATCATTTATTGTTTGGTGTCATTTTACAATGAATTTATTTATTTAAACCATTCTTAAACTTATATTATCGTAATGAACATTATTTACAATATCTATCTTGTAAGGCTGTTACTGTACACATATAGTTACATTGTTAATGCAAGGGATCGAAACATTACGAAATTATTATTTGGATGACCAGTGGATGTATACATTGCTGCCTTAAATAATCCAATGACTGAGTTTTTGATTGACATATTGAACTTCACCAATGAGATATATGCAATTCATTTCTACTTATACCAATTTTTATTTGGATCTCAAAATGATGCCAAAAATCATAAGTTAAATATCACACACTTTAGCCTCTGCACAGGTATTGATATTTACTGATTATTTCATATTAGATTTTGTCTCATTCCATCAACAATTAAGTCAACTGAAGTACATTCCTTTTCATCTGTGTGTTTACTAACTCTATTTGATCAAGATATATTCATACATTTCAGGATAAGTATAATTATATCCTCCATATGTTTATTAATTATACATGATTATCATGATATGATCAGGTCAGGGTGTATTTTCGACATATTATAAAATTGATAATTGTTCTATTTCATATGAAATGTGTGTGCGAGAGTGCTTGTGTATGATACAGTTTTAATTTTGAAGTAATTACTGTTAGAAGGAGAATTTAGTGTACAAACTGAATATAGTTATCGTCCCTTCTTGATAGATTCCTTTTGCACTTGAGGAACTTCGTGCAAAATTTCGTATTAATTAAAACCGCAATATTTGTGGATGAAAAACACAAAACTAATGATTATGCTTGGCTGGGAAAATATGACAATGTCCAGTTAGCATAGCCCCAAGGCACTCGTGACATAGCAAACGAGCACAATCCACTCAAGTGTTGCACATTATATATGCCGTTGATTTATAATAATATAAGTTCTATCATTTAATATACTATCACATTGTTACAGAGGTACTCGTATATGTACATCAATCCATAAACACATCTATATCTCGATATACAACACTGTACTCCATGGAAGAGAGACGACCTCCATATACAACACTGTACACAAGTGAAGAAAATCAGTCCTATATACAATACTGTACTCAAGTGAAGACAAACAGCCCCCATCTACAACATTTCTCCACGGAAGAGTGAGTTAGAGAGTGAGTTATAATTTAACGTCGCATCGGCATTATTTGCAATTGAAACATTTATGCAAAGTTGTATTTTAAAAGCCACGTAAGAGAGACGACCTCCATATACAATACTGTATTCAAGTAGAGACAGACAACCTCGATATACAACTCTTTACTCCACGCAAGAGAGACAACCTCGATATACAACACTGTGCTCAAGTGAAGACAAGCAGGCCCTATGAACAACACTGTACTCCATAGAATACAGCCTGCCTCGACATACAACATTGTACTCCACGGAGTGAGTAAATGAGTGAGTTGGGTAAAGCACCACTTTAAACAGTATTCCAGTTATATCACGGCTTGTCAGCTTAATGTGGGAGGAAAGCCCCAAGTGATGCAGGTCTGTGACGTTTACCACTTAAGTGAAACCCGAGAGCACGGGTATGGGGCTGACAAACCTAGATAGGGGCGACCCGGCAATCGAACCATAGGTTTCTGGCGTGCCCAAGGGACGCATATCTGCACAGCGAATCGCGGAAACTGGGCCACCCGTGCCCCCTGTACTCCACGGAAGACAGGCAACCTCGATATACAACACATTACTCCACGGAAGACAGGCAACCTCGATATACAACACAGTCCTCCACGGAAGACAGCCAACCTCGGTATACATAATTTTACTCAAGTGAAGACAAGCAGCCCTTATACAAAACTCCACTGAAGACAGGCAACCTCTGTGTATAATACTAAACTAATAGGCAACTCCTATATGCATAACTGTATTCCACTGAATACAGGCATCCCCTATATACAACAATTTTATCCCCAGAAGACAGACAACCACATTATACAAGACTCTACTCAACTTAAGCCAGGCAACCCGAAATAGATAAGTGTACATTAAGGTAGACAGAAAAGT